GTAGAGTAGAATTCGTCCCTTTCACTTTGAAAGTCAAGGCGCTAGAGAGAAGAAGTTGGTAGTTTACATCGACTATATTCTATAGTAGGCTCTGTAAAAAAGAGGTTTGGCTAAAAGGCTGGCCTTCCCTTTTCTTGTTGAAGAATCAAACTATTGCCTTGAACTTGTCTAAGTTCAACTATTGCCTTTTCTTTTTGAAAAAGCACTCCCGGATATGAAAAATCAGGTAAATCTACTAGCTGTTGAAGCTACAGCTCGTGATGATGATAGTGATTAGCGAGATGTCTTACTTTTCTTATGCAACATCTTTTGCTTATTCTCCTTCCACGACGCGCTAGCTCCAACTCAAAAGAAAATCTGCCAGTAAAGCGCGTCCACTGTGAGGGGCGCCCCCATCCCCATAGAAAGAAGGACGCCCGAAGTAGATCCTGAGGCACGTTCTTTTCGCGGGAGGGGAATAGATTCAAGAGTCAGAGTCTCTTTTACCCCCTTCTCCGATACCTACCCATAAGACGAAGATTCCTTACCCTCTCTTCCTAGTTGGAAATGGAAGACTTTCGAGATCGTGATAGGAAGAATTCAGTGTCAGAGTAGAACCGGACGAGGGAGAGCTTTCCTCTAGCAAAGAGGCAAAGAGCTTAAGAACCGACTAGGATCTTTTGGTTTAGCCAATTGAGTTCCACTTGCAAAGCCCGTAGCTTGAGAAAGGCCCGCGTAGGGATGGGAAGTGGCTAGAACAGGGGTAGCTGGAGCAGCAGTAGATTCGGTTGATCCAGTAAGAGATGGTTAGATGGATAAGGCAGGCAAAGTATCTGATAGTCTCACCCGCACCATAAGCATCTGTAGTAAAGTCTTCATGAATTAGTGGTTAGCGCCCTGGGAAGCATACCAATGAGTTTCATACCTAGTAAGAGAGGGCTTAATCTTGTAGAATACCTTTCCCTTGCATTGATAATACATGAAACGATTCTAGCGCCTTCAGTACAGAATCGAGATGAAGTAGTTTACTCGTAACCTCTTTATCCAATCGAATAACCGTCCGTTGAGGTTTTCCCCCATACCCGTCCCAACTCTCAAAACCCGTATCTGAGCACGCAGCAGAGATTCGTTCTTTAGCCGGCCGGTGAAGCTACCGGATAGTATCCAAACTACTGTACCTGAACAGCTCATTTCTCTGGAGGAACATGCCGAGCAAGTTCTTGCCTCCTCTTCCTCTACCTATCTCGGGTAAGCTACATCCATACATAGTATAATCCTCTGATTTACTGTACTAGGTACGGAATCTTAGTCCCAAGAGTTCTGCAGAAGCGGGCTTAGAAAGGGCGGTCCTATATCAACTTAGTTGATAAAGGCAGGTAGTACGACTGACTTTCAAAAGCTATCTTAATCACGACGTTCTTAAAGGTTGTAGAGCCTACACTTAGTTTCAAAAAGGTTGGTATTAGCATTAGCACTCGTAAAGGTAGAAAGGTAGATATGTAAATAACTTAGTCCTTGAACTAGGGATAGGGCCTATTAATCAAATTCCAAGAGAGTACCAGTACTATACTAGTGAAGGAGGAAATCGTAGTCCCACAGGATTCAATGAAGCTATGCCTTTTTCCGGACTAGAAGGATATTCATTCCTTTAGTTAGAGAGCTGAATGGAAGGGAAGTCAAGGAAGGAGAATACGGAAGTTATAGACTACTCAGTCAATAGATCTTAGAGGACTGGGCACTGTGCAATCTAATCTATTAGTACAAGACTGGCTATTGAAGTCAGAGACTCTACTTATGCTTGTGGAGGGATGTAAGGACTACTTTTCTGAATATTTCATTTTTGAGCTCCTTTCTTTATCCGATCCGGCCCGAAAGGAAAAAGAAAAAAAGAAGTCATGAACCAAACCCCAGTTTTCAGGCTCTCATGAAGCCTTAGGGCGAAAGCAATTATTCCTCTCACATTGGGAACTTCGCTAACTTCCTAAAACACTGGAGACTGAGGCGCATTCGCAACAAACTAGAGAATTAGGTATAGGAAGAATAGATCTAGCAATACAATCACCAAACTATTAACACTTCCAATACCCATACCTGCACCCATACCAGAAAACCATTTCGTCACCACGGAGCATAACTGCAACTCAAACTATTACCAGAAAGACAACTAGACTGGCACGCCACCTATACGGGCACGCGTACTCTTTCCAAAGCTAAAAGCACCTCCTACACTTGAGAACTACTACGCATTGGAAACGAAGCAGACAGTTCCTTTAGTGCATTAGACCTGGAAAACTCGACCGGAGGTGCTTTCAGGAGTCTTATTTACAGGAATAATGAAGAAAAGACAAGACTGCCGATTCCCCTTTAAGTAAGCCACTCTAGTTTCAGTTTTCACTTTCACAGTTTGTAGTTAACATTTTCTAGGACGCCTTAAAAGAAAAAGACCACCCATGCGAGCATAATAAGACGCCTTGGAAGGGCCTAACCTTCTGGGTAAAGTTAGCCACTAGAAAGAGATTCCTTGGCTCCGGGAATAGGAAGACTTCAACTTTACTGGCATAAAGATTGAGTCTAAGACTAAGGCGTGCGTACCACGTACAGCACTAAGAACACCGACTACGGATCCGGATCACTTCCTGGGACTGAGGGAGGATTGCTATTGTTACTTACACCTCCGGTAAAGGAAGAATAGCTATTTACTCTACTGACAAGATGGGTGGATTCCCAACATTAGCCAGCCGCTTAGATACTAAACCCTACTAGCCAATTGCAACCCTAGCTGCCAAAGACTTGCGAATACTCATGTTCTTTTGTACCCTGCTAAGGGTGGGTCAATCCTACTAAGAACCATGCTAAGGCTTCGGGCGAATATGACCTTATCACTTTTGATTGTATAGTTTAGAAACCCGCCAGATACAAGTTTTGAAAAGGAAAGACATTCTTCAACGAGTGAAATCGAAACAGCAAGCAGCCCCCTCCCTCCGACCTCCGTCGCCTGCTCACTACAGTCCCTCCGTCCTTCGTCACCCGCCAACTATGATCCGTTTGACCTCGGTCGCCCGCCGACTACGGTCCCTCCAACCTCCGTTTCTTACCAAATATGATCATTTCGACCTCCGTAACTCACGAACTATGTCCCTTAGACCACCGTCGCCGATCGAGTACAGTCCCTCCGATCTCTGTTGCCCACCAACTACGATACCTTCAATCTTTATCACCCACCTACTACTATGATCCCTTGTGAAAATAAATATTATTATGTGAAAATTAATATTGAATATTATGTTTACTTATTAACATTTAGCTAAATTTAATATTATTTGAAAATTATTAAAATTTAATTAATTTTCAGCTATATTATTTTGAGGTTTTAAGAGAAATCGCAATCAGCTTTTGCTAGTATATATGATGGAAAACGTAAAAAAAAATTTTGTTTAAACAGAAAACTCAAATATCTTATTTAAAATTTTATTTTTATATAAATTTCTTCTTAAAAATATATTTAAAATATTTAATTTACAGTTAACTTAAAAAAAAATATAAGGTAAATAAAAGTTATAACTATTGCGGCGTGTTCTTGACTTGGAAGCGCGCTAGGGTTTATTGAGCTCTGCTAGAGTTTATTGGGTTTTGTCGGCGCTTCCTTTTTCCGGCCGTTCGGCCGGGATGGCACTTCCGCAGCTGGATTTTCCTCCTCTTCAATGCAACACCATCCTTGGAGTCCCTTCTTCTTCTTCTCCCAAACTTCCTTCTACTTCTTATGCCAATAATCTTATCGGAACTTCTCCTAATCCTGAGGACTGGCCGATGTCCTTCGTCAAACCGGAGAAAAAATTATCTTTTGGCTCCACTGATCTTTCTGAAGGGCAATCTTTATGGAACCTTTCCCTCGTGGGTTACTCTCTTGGACCCCGCCCCTACTATGAGCGTTTAAGGCTGGCGATAGAGAAAGCCTGGAAGCTTAAAGGTTCTCTCTCCCTTCTCTCCTTAGCGGATGACTTTTTCCTTTTGAAGTTTACCTCGGTTGAAGATTATGACATGGTGTGGTCCAGGGGACCTTGGTTTTTACTGGGAAGACCCTTTATTCTTCAGAAGTGGAACCCTAGGTTCCAGTCGAAGAGAGATGAATCTGCTGCAATTCCGATATGGATTAAAATCCTGAACCTTCCGCTTGCTCTCTGGACCCCTTCAGGTATATCGAAAATTGCTAGTTATATTGGCATTCCTCTTTATGTTGATGCTTTGACGGCAAAAAGAACAAGGCTTACTTTCGCAAGAATTTGTGTTAAAGTGGACAAGGATGCTATCCTTGCTGATGAAATTTTGATAGATCTTGATGGGGAGGATATCACTCTAAAGGTTTTTTATGATTGGAAACCAATTAGATGTGAAGGCTGTGGATCTCTCATTCACTCTTTTGCTATCTGCCCGTCTAATCCAAACCCGAAACCTGCTCTCCCTCCCAAGCTGGTTCTTCGGGGTAGAAGCAGGAGCAGGAATCCAAACTTCAAAAATGGTCGCAACCCCTCGCAGCATATGAATCCTCAACCGTCCTCTATTCCTGGACCTTCTCTGGAATTCTCTGCTATTCCTGAGAAACAGGGGCCACCTCCTTCCACACTTCCAATCCTTGTTGAAAAGCCAATTAATGTGGATCTTACTTCTATTCAGGATCCGGTAGCTGACAACCTCATTGAAACTACTATTCCTAATCTTAATCTCCCACAAGCCGAACCTTCTGTTGCTGTTCCTTCCTTGGCAAACACCCGTTTGCTTCCACCTCAAGTTCTCCTAGCCAACAGTTTTGATTCCCTCTAAAATGACAATTTGGAAAATCTTATTGACAATTCTTTGGAAGAGGATATCTCCTCCTCTTCTAAAACTGATGAGGAACATCATCCCCAATCCTCCAATCAAAAAGACACTTCTTCCTCCTCTAAAAAAGGAAGTCCTGACAAAACCTCTCCCCCCAAAAAGCCAAAGGCAAAAACGGCCAAGAAGGCCAAATCTAAAAAGTAATCATGTCCCTTCCTTTTATTGCAGCTTGGAACGTTAGAGGGTTTAACAACCCTATTAAGGTCAAGCATTGCAAAGACCTTATTTCTGCTTTCAATCTTAAGCTTCTCTGTATTTTAGAAGCCAAAATCCATGATGCTGCTTTGTTTGATCCCTGGTTTTGTTTCAACCATGAGGTTTTTCAGAACGAAAAATCTTGTCACAATTTTTCTTATTCTACTCCTGGTAGAATCTGGATTAAGTGGGATCCCTCTCACTTATCTTTCACCCCCACCTTCTTTTCTTCTCAACTCATCCACGGTTTGGTTAATGCCGGCTCCCTCCCCCCTTTTCTTCTTTCTGTGGTTTATGCTGCTAATCATATTGAGGATTGAAAAATACTATGGGATGATCTCTTAAGGTTGTCTGCTAATTCTGACCTTCCATGGATCATCATGGGAGACTTCAATTGTTATAGAAATGATACTGAAAAAGCTGGAGGAACCAATTTGTCTACGGACCGTTTGGGTGAATTGAATAACTTTATTTTTGAAGCTGGCATTCAAGATCTGGCTTCGGTGGGGTTTTTCTATACTTGGTTTAATCAAAGAGTGGACTTACCTATTCATATCAAGCTTGACAGGATGATGGTTAATACTAAATTCTTGGAAGCCTTTCCTAAAGCTTACTGCAAGGTCCACTCCTTCTCTGGTTCAGATCATACACCGCTTATTCTCTATAATTCTATCTCTAGAAAGCTTCCTTCTAGATTTATGTTTAAAGATTACTGGACTAAGATTGATAATTTCTGGATGGAGACTCAAATGATTTTTGAAAGGGCTCCTACGGCTAGCCCGATTGCTTTCTTCTTGGAGAGTTTGAAACTTCTTAAACTAGCTATTAGTAAATATAAATGGTACTCTTCCAATTATATTTCTAATGCTATTTTACAATTGAAGAATGAGCAAGCTCTTTATTTATCTGATTTACAAGGAGACCCTCTTAACCTGGATTTAAATAAAAGTCTTAAAAGTACTACTGACCATCTCATTGCTTATCAACATGCTTGGTTCTCCTGGATTTCCCAAATAGCCAAGGCTCATTGGTTAACTCAAGGTGAGGATGACCTTGGGTTTTTATATGCTAAAATCAGATCGAGAAAAAATAGGAATTTTATCAACTCTCTCTCAACTGCTACGGGTGTAATTTCCTCCCATGAAGGTATGGCCATGGAGTTGATTAATCATTTTAAATCTCTTTTCAATGCTCCCCCCATCCACTACTTTTTCCTTCAACATTCCGGTGGGAAATTCTGTTCCTCTAAGCATGATGGATGATTTAATGAAGCCTGTTTCCAATGAGGAGATTAAGAAAGTGGTGTTCTCTGGCTCTTCAAAATTGGCTCCGGGTCCTGATGGATTTTCTTTTTGTTTTTTTCAAAAGACTTGGCATATTTCTGGGTTTGCCCTTTGCAAAGCAGTTAAGCATTACTTTACTAATGGTATTTTGCCTAGGGGGGCCAAAGCTACTGCTATCACTCTTATTCCAAAAGGCACCCATTCCAACAGCATTTCGGATTTCAGGCCTATTTCCTTGTGCAATGTTTTTTATAAAATTATCGCTAAGATTATTGCTAATAGATTGAAGCCAGTCCTCCCCAACATCATTCATGAAAGTCAGGCTGGTTTTATTTCTAAAGAAGCTCTACCGATAATATTATTCTTGCTTCTGAAATTCTGAGAGATTTTAACAAAAAAGGGTCTAATTTTTGTGCAAAATTAGATATCAAGAAAGCTTTTGACTCTGTCTCTCATGCCTTTTTGATTAGCAGGCTTAGGCAGAAGAGATTTCCTGAGAACTTTGTGAAGTGGATTCATGGTTGTATTTCAGATGTGCATTTTTCTATTAACCTCAATGAGGTTTTGGAGGGGTTTTTCAATTCTTCCTCTGGGCTGAGACAAGGTTGTCCGTTATCTCCTTTGCTTTTCTGTATTGTCATGGATGCTCTTTCCCTTTCCCTTGAATCTGGTAATGGCAAACCTTTTATTGGGCTTACAAAAGAGAACTTTAATTGCAGCCACCTTATGTTTGTTGATGACCTTTTAGTGTTTGGGCTTGCTTCTATTGATAATGCCAAGAACTTATCTGATGTTCTTCTTGCCTTTGGGAGGGCCTCGGGTCTTCATGTTAACACTAAAAAAAGCTCCATTATTTTCCCTAGAAATTTCCATTTGGCTGATCAGATTTCTAATGCCTTAGGGATCACTCAAGTCGAGAGCTCCATTGTTTACCTTGTTCTTCCTATTTCTTCCTCCAGACTCAAATTTTCTCACTTCCAACCCCTTCTGAGTAGGCTTTCTACTCTACTTGCGGGTTGGAAAGTTAAATTTCTTTCTTTTGCAGGTAGAATCCAATACTTGAAGTTCACTATTGCAAATACTATAGCTTATTGGATTCGTGGTGCTATTATACCGAAAGCTTGCTGCAAACTTATCAATCGAATGTGTTCTAGATTTCTTTTCTTTGGTAACTCTTTGGAAAAGAAATTACATATGGTGGCTTGGAAATGGGTTGCTAGACCCAAAATTAAAGATGGCTTGGGTCTTGCTTCTTTTGAATCTATTTATCACAACATGGCTTGTTCCTTCATCATGAGAATGTATAATAACTATAGCCTGATTGGCTCTTGGTATAGAGCTTTCTATGGCTCGGTTTGGAAATCACCGCCAGCTTCTGCTTCTCAGTTCAGGAAACTTTTTTGCCGCACGGCTGATTGCATTTCTTCTGTTATCTCCTTATATGTGAAGCAAAATAGTAACCTCTCTTTTCTTTGGAACCCGTGGTGTGATAGTAAACCTTTAGCTGATAAGTTTTACTCCCCCTATTACACTCATTCTAAGGTTAAGAACTTCATTCTTAATAATAATTGGGTTATTCCTGATTGTATCCCCATTGAGGTGAAAGACAGTATTGTTAAGACGGTTATTGACGAGGATTGTAAACCATCTATTCTTTGGCAATATAAACAAAATCCTATATCCATAAACTTTTTAGATTTGTTTCATGCTAACTTGGAGGATGTTGCTTGGAATAAATTCATTTGGCATAAAGGTTTTGCTCTGCGTTTTGCTTGCTTCACTTGGATGGCCTTGTTAGGGAAGTTAAAAACTGCTGATAATCTCATTTCTAAGGGTATTCAAGTTAATGCTGGTTGTATTTTTTGCTCGGGCCACTTGGAATCACATTCTCATGTTTTCTTTGAATGTGATTACTCATTCTCTATTATGACTGGACTGTTTCCCTGCATGAATACCTTCTACTTAAGGCCTAATATTATGCAGACTTTTGATTTCTTGAGCAACATCAGATCTCATGTGAAAAATGAATGCAATTTATGTTATATTACTGTTGCTGCCATGGTTTATTTCATTTGGCGTGAAAGGAATAGAAGAAGGTTTTCTGGTGACTGGATTAGCCCAAACGATCTTAAAATGACTATCATTCATGCTATTTTGGCTAAAGTTCAAAACTGGAAAAATTTGGATAAAATTAAGCCTAAGTTTTTGGAAATTCTTGGCTGATTTTCTTTTGGGGGAGACAATTGGTTTACTGGATGGCTATGGGGATTATACATTCATATTGCTTAATCTCTTTTTGCTGAGTTTCTGGACGGCTATTTTTTGGTTATTCTGTTGGTTAAGCATCACTTCTATTCAACTTTTTTGCATAGACTGGCTCTGTCCAGCTTCTTTATAGCTGGAATTTTGTAGCTGCAGAATTTTTGGGACGATGATGAGCAGGTCTACATCTCTCACGTCGCCTTGGACGGTCTTCTGGCAACCAGGTTGGTGTCATTTTAGGCACAGTGAGGGTCCTGCTTCTCGGGCAACCGGTGCCTTGTGTTCTTCGTGGTTGGTAGTAAAAATGATGATGGCTTTGAAGCCTTTGAGATGTAGATCATTTTCCTGAGTCCAGTAGATTTTTCTCTTTTTCTGTTTTTGATTTTATTCTGGTTTTGATATAGTTGATTTTCTATACTTATACTTTTCTTTGTAACTTTTGGTGTTTAATACAATGGCTACGCCCCAAATTCCCCCCCCCCACTTACCCATTTAATTCATTTTATTATGGATTAATGCTTTTGAATTATATCAAGATGAGAGCTATAATATTCAAAGTCATTCATTTATTTTTATAGCAAATTGATTGAATTTAAAATCTTAATAAAATTTTTTTATAAGTTTTCTTCTTGAGTTATAAAAAAAAAACTTTACTAATTATATATTTGATATTAATAATTTTAATATATTAAAAAAAAGTTAAAATCTGCCCATTTAACTCATTTAAAAAACTTCAAATTTTTATTCAAATTATTCAATTATATTATATAAAAGTATAAATTAGTATCAAATTATTCATCATAAGTTAAAATTCATTTTTCTTATTTTATGACAGAGACTACGCGGCAGCTTAATCCTCTCTCAGAGTCTCTCTCTCTCTCTCTCTCTCTCTCTCAATTATTAGAGAGTATCTAATCTTCATCTCTTCCAATCAATCTCTATTTCTCTTACTGTTCAGTTGTTCTGCTCTCTCTACCTTGATCATCGGTGTCATGGCGGAATGGTTTGTTGGTCCAATCATGGAGAAGATCATCAACACTTGCTCTGATTACCTGGAAGAGCAAGTCGGATGGCAGACGGGCTTGAAGAAGGAGCTTCAAAGGCTGCGAGAGAACCACCCCAAAATCCAAGCTGTCGTCTTTGCCGCTAACCAAGCACAAATTAGCGATCAGAACCCAGCTCTCAACAAATGGATATGGCAGCTAAGAGATGCTGTTGATGAGGCAGATGATGTGCTCGATGAGTTTGAGTACATGAAGCTTAAACAACAGCTGACCAAAAACACAGAAGAAACAAAGGTGCGTTCTCTATCATCAGCTACCTATTTGATACTGGTTGCAAATAAATATATTTATTTTATAATCTATTTCTCTCTAATTTTATCAGAAAAGAAGGGCGTTTTCCAACGCGAGCTTCCTGATTGAAAGTGCTTCGAAAATTCGCAAAGTTGGCAAACGTGCTTTCAAGAATGATCCCAACTTGAAGAGGCTGGAGGAGGTTGTGCAGAAACTAGATAACATTTCAGCTGGGGTTAGTAATTTTCTTCATCTTCTAAATATCGCAAAGCAGGAGCAGCAGGAGCAGCAGCGTGAGTTGTTCGAAGCACGTGAAACAGGACCCTTGCCTACAAATGATCTCATCGGTAGAGGCGAGGCTAAGGAGTTTGTTATGCAGTGGTTGAGGAAGCCATCAAATGAGCATCGAGGAACTGATTTGTACAGAAACATTTCTCTTCTGTCTATAGTGGGCCATGGTGGTATGGGGAAAACAACTCTCTTGCAACATGTCTATGAAGATGAAATGACAAAGGAATTTGATCTTAAAATGTGGGTTTGTGTTTCCAACAACTTTGATGTGAAAAAAGTCATTGCAGATATGTTGGAATGTCTTCAAAAGGAGAGGTTGGAGGCACTTGGGGCACTTCAAAAGAGTCTCCAGAAAGAGGTGAAATCCAAAAGGTTCTTACTGGTCCTTGATGACGTTTGGGAAGAGGAGGAGGAACGGGATAAAACTAAATGGGGGAATGTGCTCGCCCCTGTAGCTTCTGGAAGTTTTGGTAGTAAGATTCTGGTAACAACTCGAACGGAGTCAGTCGCACTGATGTTTCAAAAAGTGATTAAAGACAAACAAAAACCAATGAAATTAGAAGGCTTAGAGGAGGAAGAATGTTTGGAGCTCCTCAACATCCATGCGTTTGCTGTAGACGATCTTGATGATCAGAGAAAATTAAAATTAAAATCAATCACTACAGAGATAGTTAAAAAGCTTTCAGGGTCTCCTTTAGCAGCAAAGGTCATATGCGGTGATCTGAATTCTAATTTGGATGAAGGACATTGGAGACGAGTTTTAGATTCTGTTCTTGAAATAATAAAATTGGGTGAAAATGTTATCATGCCCGCCTTAAGATTGAGCTATGTACACCTCCCACAACCTCTAAAAAGTTGCTTCACATTTTGCTCCATATTCCCACAAGATTATAAATTTGATAAAAATGATTTAGTCCGACAGTGGATTGCATTGGGTTTCATTCAACTGTCTCATATTCAAGGAGAGATTCTGGAGGATATCGGAGGAAGGTATTTTGATGTTTTGGTTAAAAAAAATTTCTTTGACAATTTTGACAACAATTTTGGATATTATTATTATAAGATGCATGATCTAATACATGAATTAGCACAATCTGTTTCCAAAGATGAATGCTTAAGAGTTGAGGATAGTAAAAAATTGCCTTCTCCAATTCCTAAGACTCTTCGACACTTGTCTATTCAAGCTGAAAATCCATACATCTTAAAAGAGATTGGGAAGTTTAAATATTTGCGTTCTCTTTCCTTGTTATATCTACCTTCTTATCAGAATATTTGTGCACTTAGTAAAATATTCAAAGCATCTAGAAGCCTACGCTTATTATGCATATGGGCTCCAAACTTGGAAATAATACCTGAGGAGATTGAAAATTTGATACATCTTCGATACTTAGAGATTGATTGTCATAATTTGACTATGCTACCAAGATCTCTAAGTAATCTCTATCACTTGAAATACATAATCTATGATGAGAGTAAAAGGATCATATATGATGGATCAATAATTTTCGGTCAATCTAAAGGTGATGATTTTTTACCAAGTAACATTCATAACCTTTCAAACTTGTGTTACATGAATTTGTACCAGAATTTTTCCCAGAATTTTTTTTCATCGATATGTGGGATTGGGAAGCTAATGTCTCTTCAAGAATTGGAAATGTTTGATCTTAGAGATGTGAGTGGTTATAGAATTGGGGAGCTCGAGAATATGAATGATCTTTGTAAATTAGGAATCAATTGCCTTGAAAATGTTAAGAATGAAGAGGAGGCTTGTAGTGCCAAATTATATGCCAAGAGGAGGCTCACAAATTTAACCTTATGTTGGAGTAACACTGATTCGAGGAACATCAATTTAGATGAGAAGGTGCTCGACAACCTTCATCCACCAACATGTCTAAGGAATCTGAGCATAAAGGGTTATTGGGGTGCAAGGTCTCCAACATGGATGAACAATGTCAATCCGATCTTCAGGATAGAGAAAATCGAATTGACAGATTGCTTGGAGTGTGAAACTCTTCCACCTTTTGGACGACTTCTCTTCCTCAAGTCACTGCAACTTGATAACATGCCGAAAGTACAGTGCCTCGAAAGTAAATTTAATGGGAATATTGATACATACCGTGCCTTTCCATTGCTAGAGGTTTTACATATTCGCAGATTAGAAGCATTAGAGGATTGGTTTGAGGCAGGAGTAGCTGCTGAAGATGGATCTTTGTTTCCTTGCTTGATTAAACTGGAGCTCCAAAACTGCCCGAAGTTGAAAGAGTTGCCCTCTTTGCCTTCTAAGCTCAAGAGCTTCAAGATGCGATCTGCGGCGTGGACGACTTTGAATTTTTGTAGCAATTCGAATCCTATCCCCCTTGAATCATTATGGGTCTTTCAATGTCCAAACATTACATCTCTTCCTCTGGCTGATGAAATAGCAAGACTTGCAGCACTAAGATCCTTGTCAATTACAAAGTGCCCCAATCTGATCTCTCTGGGAAGATATCGAGAAGTGGAGACCACTAATAATTGCCATCTCATGCTCAGCTATCTCTGGATAAGTGATCCATCGGTGTTGCTAATGGAGCCATTGAGAAGTATCACCTCCTTAAAAGAGCTGAGTATTTCGTCAAATGATGAGGTGGTTTCATTTCCAAATGAGGCGGAGCAGTGGTTTCTCAATAACAGGTCTTCTCTTTCTGAGCTGCGATTTTCAGGTCTCAAATCCTTAGAGTCTCTCCCTTCAACTTTGGAAAGCTTATCTTCACTGCAGAAACTATCTATTTCTAATGTTCCTATGCTTCAGGAATTACCGAACCTTCCTTCCTCTTTAGAATATCTAAATATTTCTAATGTTCTTATGCTTCGGGAATTACCGAACCTTCCTCCCTCTTTGAAATATCTAACAATTTATGGGAAATGTCATCCAGAGTTAAAGGAGCGCTATCGAGAGGATGGAGGCTCCGATCGGCACAACATTGCTCACATTCCTTATATCCATATTTCTACCTAAGCAAACTTCTTTTTACGTACGTACTTATCTTATTTGTTTGATATCCGTATTTTTTAATGCAATCTCAGCATTAATCAGTTTGTAATATTTGATGTACTCAATTTTATTTATGTATCACTCGATTTACTCAACTTTATATATAAATATATTCTTCTTTTAATATTCCCTTATATATGTCATGGATTATTCACAACTAAAATTTAAATAGTTCTTTTTAATTTTTTATTGATTTCTCGAAATGAAATCATTATTGAATTATTATTTAATTTTGATTTTATGCTTTTGAGTTTGCAAAAACAAAAAAATATTAATGATCAGTCATCTTTAATCTTTTTTTTTTTCAGTTTTAGCAACCTTGAAATTAATTTTATTTATTGATTTATTTATTTTTTTAGACACAGGCTAACTTCTTATCTAGAAGAACTGGAAGTGGAAGCTGAAGCAACGGCTCTTATTTAAAAATTTTATTGTCATTGCACCAATAGCTATAATTTGAACTCATTAATTTTATGATATAAAAAAAAAAAAGCACTCTTAATGCCCAACAGTTTCTATCTTGCATTACTGCTCTTGATTATTGCTTTACAAGAGTTGTATTAAAAATAAAAAGATTAAGGTTTTAATATTTTTAAAAGAAAATTTTTAGTAAAAAAATTATAGTGGAAGAAATTCTTATACTAAAAAGTTGTGTTTGAAAGAATTAATAAATACATTTCAAATAACGATTAATAAGTCTTTGTTTGTGACAACTGACAGCTTTCATATTATTTTATAAAATAGGTTTTTAGTATAAAAATTACAACTAAAAAAAATTGTAGTAAAGTGTTGTTTTCAAAAGCAGTAAAAAAGTTATTCCAAATTACTAATAACTTGCCTATATCCCCGTAACCACCAAATTAATAAGTAATATCATTAATTTATTGAATATATTGAAACATTTTAAAGCTTGTTAATATTTATGGTGTTTAAATCTTAATTCATTTATATAAGCTTAAGAACTTAATTAAAACACATCCAAATGAAAACTTCATTACAATTTATTAACAGATTTAATATTAACAAATGAAAAAATTTTGAACTCGCAATCCTAAATGTTTCTCTTGTAAATTTACCATTAAGAAACTCTTTAAAAAAATACCATTGTGTTATCTGAAAGAAGTAGAAGAAGAAATGGAAATTGAAGCAATGGCTCTCATCTAAAAATTTTATTGTCATTGCATCAATGGCTGCAATTTGAACTCATTAATTTGATAAGATAAAAAAGGAAAACTATTATTTATTCACAACAGTTTATATCCTGCATTATTACTCTTCGCATTGTTGCTTTAGAAAAGTTGTGAAAAATTTAGTAGATTAAAATGAAAAGATTTGAGTTTTTTTAATATTTTTAAAAGAAAAAACACTAAAAAAATTGCTTTTGATAGAATTAAGAAATATGTTCCAAACGAAGCCTAACAAGTCCTTGTTTGTGATAATTTTCATACTATTTTATAAAACAGCTTTTTAGTATAAAAACTATAACTTAAAAAAATATATGAAAAAAATATTTTTAATAGTAAGAAAGCTATATAAATGATTGACGAATTACTAATTTTTGTTCCTAATATTTAAAATGAATTGCCAGTTTTGATTATTATGGGAAAAAAGTGTCAAAAGGTATTGTAATGAGATTATAAATAGTAAGAAAAAATAATAATATTGTTTTGGATAATCAATTTGATTATGTACTATTTATTCCAAAGAGTTTATGCAATTTACATGTTATTTCCAATAGCACACCAATTCAAATTTTACCCAAGCAGACGAACATAAGTTTGTTATTATAGAATCATAAACTAGTTAAAACTTACTCAAGCTAGCACATGTTACTTGCACCACCATAAAAGAGTTTCAAATTCCTTAAAAAAACAAAAATAACGGCCAATGACATATAAATTTATTATTTTTATGCTCAACTTTCTTTACCTATAATAAATTTGTATTTTTAAATAATGTCAACTATATTAAGACTGCTAAAAATACAAATTTAATTATTTGCTCTTTTAACAGTCATAGCATAGTTGACATTATTTGAAAATACAAATTTATTATAGAAAAAGAAAGTTGAGCATAAAAATAACAAATTTATATTTTTCTAACTAAAAGTAATCATCACAAGTTTAACATACTTGATTTGTCACAACTTTCAAGCTAAAGCCTGATTGAATGCATATTTCTCAAGGCTGCCAACTTTCAAGTGGCTAATAGCTAACTTTCAAGTGGCTAATAGAAGATGACCGACTCCTCCAAAGCCCTCTTTGATACCATTAATGCTAGACAGAATCCAAAGAAAGAACAATCTCAGATCTGATAATAATGAAGTCATATCTCAGATCAACATTGAAGATCCGCAACCTCAGCTTTCCAATTTATGTTGGTAAGCTGCTACAATACAAACAGAAGAGAGAGAGAAAGAGTACGAACATTATCACTTGAGTAGGTAACAAGTCACCCTAAATAAAATGATATATGTATGGAATTGAATGTTTTCAGTTGGCAATGCAAGGGATTGTATTATCAAATATTAATTTACAAAAAATCATTTACAAGAAAAAAATGAGGTATTTTCCATTAAATAACAATTTTCTATGGAATTCAAATGTTGCAGGACGATCAACAATAACATTACCTTTGAACAAAACTCCCAATTCCTATTAAGGAAAAGTTTATATTTTCTACAGGAAATTCCTCACGATGACTGTCACATCAACACTGATAAGTCTATACAAGATAGGAACTTGTAAAGAACAGATGACATGACAATCATTGAAGCATTCCATATAAAATATTTTCTAAGGAAATGTTCCTAACAGAAATTGGCATATATACATGGACTTAATAAGAGTTCGTTGATATTCTCATGAGTAGGCCAAAAAAATTAACATGAGAAATTTTCAATCCTTTGTAATCCATCTGCAACCACGGATTTCATATCCACCAAAACTATGATCACTACTGCTTTCTCCACCACTGCCAGCACTGTTATAACCAGACTTTCTACGGTGTCTTCTTCCCTTGGAAACACTGTTGTCGCTTACAGTACCGTTCAAAAGTGGATCATCTATACCACGAATAACTCTCCTAGAAGGTGATGAGGAACCTATGACACTGTCATCCTTGATTCTCCTTCTATCCTTCTCCTGCTTCTTTATATTTTGAGATATCTTGTGAAGCTTCTCATTAAACCGAGTGAGACCCTTTTCCATTGGTTCCACTGCATGGGTGACTGTGAACTTCAAATCATTCACAATCTATACAAAAAACCAAATCAAGAAGTTTTAGCTAACGGAAAAAAAGGAAATTAATATTAGTTTTAAATATCTTATAATTAAATCCGTTTATCAAGCATATAAGTATATTGCAACTGGATGAAATAGAAATAGTGATTATGTACATGGGAGTAACAAGAATGATGTTTAGAGCTTCTTCACTCGAAGGATTGATGGTTACCACTCAAATTTCTTCCTTTTTTTTCCAAAACAATTCACCTAGAGCAAATTATCACAAGTGATTCTAACTTAGCGCATTAAACTAATAAGACTTTCACCCTTAACTGCATACTGCTACATGAATAAATCCGTTCAGCATGAAAAGGATCAATGAAGTAAACATGCGTGAATGACAACACACATAGGTAGGTAGAGAGAGCTTACATATTCTCCACCGCCAAGAAATACATCTCGGACACTTTCTTTGATGTTCATTCCACTCTTAAAATCAACATCAGGTGGCTGAGGAATTCTCAGCTTGGTAGGTCGCACACTATCTCTTACCTCGTCAGGGTCGAATGGGCAGTCCACAGAAGCATAATCTCCAAGAACTGAAACTGTTCCAGGCAATCGATCACCCATTAACTCGTATGGTTTGGCTGGAAATACATAGATGTGAACAATAGAGGCGATGCCCATCTGCGCTAGAAGAAAAACAGCTAATCAAAATATGTCATGCCAATTCATAAAAGAACATAGTTCCCAATCCATAAGGATTAAGAAAGCTCAACTTTCAAGGAGAATGGTAACACAAACCAACATGTATTCTTCATTTCAAACAAAGCCAAAAGACTATTTATGCTACAATTTCTAATCATTATAAGCATGTTAAACCTGTCAAGCATGCATAAAGATATGAGAACCACATCTTTTTGTTTGAATGGCATTAGAAATCTACCAAAAAATAAGAAATTTTGATAGAAGACACAAAGTAGAATATTCAACATCTTATTGTTAAGGCCCTCCTGTAAAGCCACAAGCAATAAAGCTTCTGACAGTGTTGTAGGTATGCGTATTGCAATATGTGTTTAAACAGGCAGCAACATTTCAAAAAGTTGTACTAAGTTACTGATGCTTTATTAACCAGAGCAAGGACAACTTTTATTATTCTTTTGGAAGGTATAAGATGGCAAGCGTTCTAATGTAACACATGAAAAAACTCAGACTCGTGATAAGATTCTAGTCTACCCCAATCATACTTGGTCAAGAATTTAAATGTATTTATTTTATTAAGTTTCTTTTTATTTAGATTAAGTAGGAATTATCATTTGAATAAGCATGTTTTAAATTTGTAGTATATACTAGGATTTGTTCTGAATTTGAATTTGTTGGTATTTAAAAGTATAAACCTTATTCCTATAAATAGGGTTAGTATGATATTATTTTTATCATCATAAATTGAAAGTAAGTATTAACATAATTCTCTCTCTTCCCCCATCCTCTTCATGGGTGGCACAACTTTCGAAATAATTTGCTTCTCTTCTATGATGAAAGGGGAGATTCTCTCACTATTTCTACTCTAACCATCAAACCCCTCGACATCCCCTCAATTTTCTCACATTCAAAGAGAAATAGTTTGAGAAATTAGAAGTAGCAACATTCAAATGGTTAAATGTGAAGCCTCCAAGTGAATGATCAAGATCACATTTTAAATTCATGCCCAAATGTGACACTTTGCTAAATAATGTATGTAAATGTTTCAATTCACTCGTTCTTGATGCTAAAGAGTTGTCTATTATGTCACTGCTTGAAAGTGTTATGAGCTTTGATATTGTCAAGGATGTTGGGGAATAAGGAGAATATAATAAAATAGAATGCAAAGCTATGTCCTAAGATTATGGAAATTTTTGGAAAACATATGCAAGAAGCAAGAAAAAAAAAAATATGCAAGAAGCAAGCTCTTGTATTGGGCATAAATCCGATTATGACAATTACAAAATAAGTATCGTGTATGAAGCTAAATACAAAGTTGGCTTGAACTTAAAAAGATGTAGTTGTAGGAAGTGAGAGTTATGTTGAATACCGTGTGAATATGCCAATGTTGCAATTCATATGATTATGGGCTACTATGAGGATTATGTTCATCCTTACTATATAGTGGAAAATTATATTAGTTATAAGTGCAACATTAAGCCTTTAAATGGAGCTAATGAGTGGGCAAAAGATTGATAGAATTCTGCCATTGTCACCAACGTACAATAACCCAAGAGGGGTAGGCCACCGAAGATGCGAAAAAGAGTTGTTGATGAACAACCATCATATCCAAAGCAAAAAAAAAAGGGAGAGCAATGTGAAGTTTCATTGCAGTAGATACAAACAGAATGAACACAACAGCATCACTTGTGAAAAGAAGATGCATACTGAGTAAACACAGAGATTCTTAGAAAGTTATAAAAGCATTGGACGAAATAGTAGGTCATATAATTCCATTAGTTTCATTTACTTAGGTAACTATTTTGATTTAAAAACAATTTTTTTAAAACTTGTGTTGATTTAGTTAGAGAGTCAAACACAGCATGAGTCAGTTTTGCGAACTCTTATGCAAGGATCTTCCAACATAAAATTGTTTTGTGAACTCTTATGCAAGGATCTTCCAACATAAAATTTTGGTACGTTCATTTAAATTTTTACTTAAGGTTTATTTTTTGTTTTCTTTTGTGAATTTTAACTAAATTTTCTTCCTTTTATAGGTGTACACCTCCAAAAGAAAAAGAAAAACTCATTGACAAAAATATTCATGTTTCAGATCTTGAATTTTTTTGTTAGATGGTTTGAACAACAACACATATAGCTGCATATTAATGTAAAGAAAAAAATAGAAGAATTTGCATAAATGCTATGTTTTGTAATGACAAAGAGTACTTCATTTTGCTGTTTTATGATAGATTTCAATGTAATTGATGAATTTTTAACTTTATTTGATGTAGCTTTGTGAAGAACTTTTAAATCTAATGAACTTTTATTTAAAGGAATGGATGATTCTCATATCACACAAGCTACCCCTTATTTTCCAATAATTGTTATGCCAAAAACTTCACTGGATTCTGAAAACAGTAGCATCTCTTTGTATAAGCCTTTGAAGGATGAATCTGATGCCAACTTAGTTGATTTCGATGATCATGCTTCCACTCCTTTCACAAGCGCTGGCTTATTTAGTAAATTGTCATTGTGGTGGTTGAATCCTATGATGAAAAAAGCTATGAAAAGCTGCTAGAGGATAAAGATATTCATATGTTAGGCAAAAATGACAAAAACAGAGAGCTGCTACTTTTTTGTTTTTGGTGCAATTGAACAAGCTAAAAGTGAAGCAGCACATTGTTTCTCCTTCTGTTATAGGGTGATAGTGTTATGCCATGCAGAATCCTTATCACAGAGGCAGTGGTACTTTTGAACTAGAAGGTTAGGACTACAAGTGAGGATCTTTGTTATCAGCAGTCATCTATAAGATGCAACTTAGGTTGTCAAACTCAACCGAATTGGTCCATTCTTCAAGAGAGATAACTGAACTATGTTACCATTGATGCTTACAGAATAGGGGAATTTCCATTCTGGTTCCAACAAGATTGAGCTTGGTCGACAAACTTCCAACTCTTTATTTCTTTATCAATTCTTTATCAAAACCTAAACCTGGGATTAAAACAAAACCCAATTCCAAACTAAACTCAGATCAGACAGCTTCATGAAGTTAAATGTGGAATCAACTTAATCAGCTTATTTTTGTTTAAAGTGGGCCTGAATTATACTTTTGGAAAGTCTTGTTTTAAATTTGAATTAGATAATACAATATTATTTGAATTTGAGTTAGATGATAGGATTAGTTATGAATTTAAATTTATATCCCACATTTGTAAGTAGAATTAGCAGGAAATTATTTTCATTATCATAATTGAAATAAGCATTCCCCATAATTCTGCAAAATTCCTTCTCGCCTTTATCTTAACCAGCATCACCTCCACCCTCCTCCCTCCATCCTTTATATTCTAGTAGCATATCCACAATTACAGTAAAACCCTAACACTCCAATCTCCATCTTCATTTTCTAACTGCACACTAAGTGATGCGGACATCCAACCGTCCATGGCTATCCGAGGAGCTGAAGATCAACAGCTGTCATCGTCCCACGTTATCTTATATTTTATTTATAATTTTTAAATTTTTATTATGAATTTTCCATTTTTACCCTCACTTAAGAGGGTCGTCCTATGTAAGCCTTAGGGGCATATGTGTCTTGTTTTAGTTTCGTAGGCCTAGTATATAGAGGCCTTTCTTATGTAATGGATGATGAATGAATTAATGAAAATTTGCTTTTTGCGTTCTCTTTGTGGTTCCATCTTTTAGATCTCTTAGTGAGTTCTTTTCTTTGAGATCTCTAGTGAGTTTTTTTTTTCTTTTGAGATCTCTTAGTGAGTTCTCTACTTTGTGTTCTCTTTGAGAGTGCATCTCTCTCTCAAATCTCTTAGTGAGTTTTGAGAAGAGCTAGATCTCTTTGTGAGTTCTAGACCTTCTTCTCCATTATCATTGTGATCAATTTGGTGTGGGAAATCAAGGTGAATTATGTGGCATAGTAATCCCTAGTAGAATTGCCCTTTTCCTCCCTCCTTGGATCCTTATCGCCGCCCCTTTCCCCTAGCCAACCGCCGGCCAGCCTCCCGCCGACCAACCCAGCACCCCACCCCGCGGCCTGTAAAGCCCTCCCGCTGGCCAGAAAACCGCCCAGCGGCCACCGTCCACCGGTCCTTGCCGCCGGCCACCCGTGAAGCCTTGCCGCCGGTTTCCCTCTAGCCCACCTATTCGAATTTTGAATTCTCCTCCCCTAATGAATTTCCTAATCAAGTCAAATTAAATTAGGATATTAATTACGAGTTACAATCTTTTTTTGAAATTCAAATTCCCTCCCAATTTTCTTTAAAGAAGGGAGTTACATGATATAATTAAAATTTGAAATCTAAATTTCAGATTTTGATTAATTAATTGTGGTCCCCACCTACTTAAAATTTTCCATCTCTCTCCTTCTATTATCAGCCCACTCATTAAGCCTCCATAATTACCTCCCACAATTCCCTCTCATCCAATTTAATTCTCCCCATTAAATTTGAGTTTAAATTCAAATTCATCCCGCCAATTCCACTTAATCTGAAATTTAATTTCAGATTTTCATTCTCTCTCCCCAAATTGATTGGGATTTAATTAATCTTGCCAACTAGGCAAGTACAAGGCATTTATGTTTCACATCACTAAGATGTTTCTACTACAACTGCTCAACTTAAAGCCCATTTTCAATCAATTAGCATGGCTGTCCTAATCGTCATTCAAGCCCATTTTCATCACTAAGATGTTCTTATGATGCGGCATTGTGGCCATGTAAGTAACCTGCATTCTGGCACTCAGAGTGGTAAGAGCAACTTCTTAGCCTGACAACAAAGATATAACCCACGTTTATGTAACCTGCAATATGGCATTCAGAGTGCAAGTGCACCTGCTTAGCCTGATAACAGAAATATAACTAAGTTTAATCAAATGAAGGATCAACTATAATTCAATAAACAAAGGAAACCTTCCATTTGCTTACTAAAGTACTGATTTTTTTCAGTGAACGGCTCAATCTATAAATCAACTTGAATTGGAAACAAAACTATATCAGAATATCGTCACTGATGACCATGATTTAAAAGCACATAAAAGGGACTAATCAGACATCGAAACATGAATAAGGTCCACAAAATGTATATAGCAGGATAGAGAAGGAAAAGAGGAGAAGCATTAAAAAAGATCAGATTACCTCTATGCAAATGATGAAATCCTGGATACTTGATTTAAACTGTAAGGCCTGAGCTATAGGACTTTTGACTAAACCCAACGAATAAAATAATGCAATAGCCACTCCTTGCCACCAAGTCAAAAATACAATTGATTTGAAAGTTAAGAACTTGGCCAATGGGTTAATATGTTCCAATTCATCCTTCGTAGCCGCATAGAATTGCACTAGGCAGTACAAGGCCCATGATTGACTGAAATTGAGAACCACTGCCATATAAGGATAACTGCAAAAATAAGACAAAGCAATGCTAAAACATTTAGCCAAAAAAAGTTAAAAGGTATTTTTTCATCACTGTGCTAAGTATTTCATCATCCAATAACATCTGAACTCAAAATTTCTTTTGTATAAGGACATGCAAGGATAAATAATATCAAGTTTGAATGGATAAATAGTATCACATTTGAATGGATGAATTGTACCAAATTTGAAGCCAACGTGTACATGCTGACCCGTATCAATGCCTTTTACAATGGCTACATCTAGTATAGAATTATAGGCACAGCTTTCAATGTTGTAATCAAGGTTGCAAATTACCAAACTTCTTGTCTTATTTATTAAGAAGCTAAACCCTTGGTACATTATGCTCGTTGATAAGTTTCTACATGAGTACCGTACACTTTATCATCATAATTACAAAACTTACGGCCTTATTTATTTAAGGAACTAGCCTTTCGGTCAGTGAGAAGCTTCAGCATTAATAACTTATGCCTTTAATAGGCATATGTAATCCAATAGAAATAGGAAAATACTTGGCCAAACCACCTAATGTTTGAACACAAGTAACCGCACCTGCATACATATCCCTAATGACATAAAGCCTTTGCTTAGAACAATTCTCTCAGAAAAGAAATTTTTAATTCTTGGAATGTTTTGTAATACTAATTCTTTTTTTCTTATTATTATTATAATTGGTATAAACATAAAACATCTACCAAACAATATTATTGGATAGTGCTGACGTCCATGTATAAAAATAAGAAAAAACAGCAATATCAATAGTGATAAAACCTATGATAAATTGTAATGGACAAGATATCTTAATGTAAACCTCAAATGAGGAAAACAGAATGAATCCACAACAACTAAATATGTCAGTAAATAAATCTACAAACCATCAAAACTAAATAATGCATTTAGAACAAGCCAAACAATTATATTATAATAAAAAGAAACCTAGTTGACATAATCAAGCGTGAAATACACGAATATAGCCTTATATAATTGCTTGGAAGCCATAAACAACTGAAAAAAACCAAAGAATAAATCTTACCCACAGTTCCATTTAAACTCTCCATCACAATATGCATCAAAGGCTTCAAGAAAAACAGCAAGAATAGCAGTAACAGTTTTAATTATCATCTGCACCAAGGAAAGCGTTAGATTACTTGAACTTGGTATCTGGGTACATGTTTGTGAAAAAGGTGCAATGGAGGCGCACACATGTGCAGGTTGTTGGTGCTATGGCTATCGTAACAAAAGTCCAAAGTCACTTACATATTGAACAATACCAATCTTGATGATCTGGTAAAACCATTCACCCAGTCTCCATGGCTTCAGAATAAAATTCATTGGGAAGTGATGCTTTATTATTCCCTTCTCAGATAAAAGATGCAATAGGGGTTGCTTAGAATCTGAGCCACCTTCCCTCTTCATAAACTCAATCGTTCTTTCTTCACCGCCTAAATTTGAACAGAAATCTAATCAGATAAGGTAAAGGGGAATGAAATATTCTCAACAAAGCTACCTACACAAAAAAGAAACATAAGGGTTTATAGAGTATGAGCCAAACAAGTACAATAGCCATATGTATGATATTTATGTCAGATACTTAAAAGTGGGAATGCGAGCAACTAAGCCATTTGATTCAAAGTAACCATGAAGCATTTAAATAAATCATCAATGCAACCTCTACATCATGCTCATTCAATTTTCCTCCTCTATATGTGTATATGCGTGTGTGTATATGGTGTATGAAAGGGTAAGGGTGAACCCAATGTATAAGAGCTTGATTTATGCATAAACCTGCATTTCAAATAGATCGTTCTCTCAAGCTGACTAAATGATGGTTCAATACATCCTCTGTTAGGGTTTACGGTAACTTGGCACAAAAACTCTTGAACTAAATAAACTGTTGGCAGTCCCTTCACTGAGAGTAGTTTGGCCATAGGATTGCAAGCTGGTCGTCCAAGCCTCCAAGGTAGCAATCAATGACCTTTGGGTGGAATTCACTTTCAGATTCTGGGTGACTTAAATGCTTGTAAGATGTAGAATATCTTCTCTTATTTTTTTAGATGTATATATAGAAATAAGGTTAATTGATTATTTGATTGTATATTTTATCTTAGGAATATTGTAATATTATCACTTAGCATTTAGTAGTTTTCACAGATAAAAATTACCTATCATATTCTAGAATTCTGTTGTTTAGATAAGAGTGTAAGGTACTCAATAAAATAAACAAATAATTCAAACCATTTCTCGTATTTTCACGGTGAGCTTGGAAGAAAGGTTCCTAAGCATTTTTTACATCCCCACCTACTTTCTTCCAACAATTGCTCCACCAGTGGTCTTCCTTCCACAAGTTGCCACCAACTGTCTAGAATGCAAAGCAAACCGCAGCCAACTTGTTGATGTAGAAGATTCCAATAAAATGTCTTGTCCATGGACTATGGACTTCAATGATATCAAAAGTTAGAGGAATTTACAAGTTTCTAGTTTCTTAATGATATATGGAATGCGGTAAGAAAATGTATTCCAAGTTGCATTATGCCACCTTTGTCTATAAAATTAAGACAAAAATCCACAGGGCCAAGCAATTCACTCTTCCATTTGCTAAATATTAAAACAAATTGAACATTTTGTGGCTCAAACAAGATTACTAGTAGTGTATGAAAATAAGATGCAATGAAAATGTTGCAATATTACAAACTTTTGTAGAATAAGGTATCTATAAATTCCAAGTTGGACTAAATGCCACAATATGACCAAGCACGCAACCAAACGCTTAAAATAAAAAACTCCCTTTCCAATCTAAATAAGTTACGTTATGTTTGAAGCAGCGCCTATAGTTGAGAGTGATGAACTATTTGTGGTCCCTACACCAAATTCAAGTAATAAAGAGCCAAACAAGCCCAAATTGAGCCCACCATGGTCCAATAATCAAGAATGTATATTTTGCAATTATTCTAAAAAACCTGAGCATACAAAAAGATATGATGTGAACTCCAAGGAAAGCCTCCATACTATAAAGATCGCTTACATAAATAATGAGTTGGCAATGTCAGTTCAATTGAACCGATAAGCTGATTCCATTAATAAGAGAGATGGAGAGGGAGCCTAGCAACTAAGAGGCGATACAGGGAGAAAGAAAAAGAGAGTAATGGGCAGAGGAAGAGCAGTAAATTGAAAGAGAGAGCGACAGGAGGCAAGCACGTGATTAATGAGCGATTGGTGGGTATGTCGCACATCAGGGAGCGAAGACCTTGACTACAAGAGTAGGTTGAGCGAGGGATTTAAACTGTAAACAAAAAGACTAAGGAAGAATCTAAAGTCTTTTTTCCTTTCATCCTCATTTCAATCAATGTAAGTCTAAAACCAAAAATAAATTGTTTTAGCTTTCTTGATATAGTTGACTAGAAGCCTTATATATATTTGTCAAATTTCTATTAAATTTTGTCCATTTTTCGTGACATAACAAGAATAAGTTGAAAAGATAAAAGAAATTTAGTGTTCTAAAAAAAGGAAGAAAGAAGATGAAGAAGAATGATATTTGAGGCATGTAATAAAATCGAAAAAAAAAAACATAATTTACTTTAAATTAATAAAATCAGATTTTTTTAATTAAGAAATAATGATAATTAGAGATTTAATAAATGAAAGAATTATATATATTTATTTATTTATTTATGTGTGTGTGAATTAGAAAATCTAAAATTTCATATATTTGCATAAGAATATAGAACTTGAATTTTAATTGGATAAATTTGATGAATTGAATATAATAAGAAAATGTACTTGATGAAAGAAAAATTTATTAAATAAAAAAATAAATTTAGTAAAGGCTAAAGAGAAATATGTATAGTTAAATGAAAGTAACCCATAAATATCTTATAAAAAATATTTATGATTATAGGTACTAAATTAAAGGAGGTAGGTTTTAAAGATTAAATGAGCAAAGTAAATCTTATAATGTTGAGGTGGGTCATTATATTTTTACCTTATAGTAATTGCAGCCCTCTCAATTTTGTTGTATTGGCTTATATGTTATTTTATGTATACATTTGATATTGATAATGCAACTGGAAAATGATTAAATGCAAATTCTCTTTTACCTACATAAATATCTTCATATTATTATAAATGTTAGATTAAATTCATCTTATTTTAATCTCTAAATTGTCATTTTTAGAAGTATATGTATGATAAGATAAACTTAAGAAATATGACAAGGAAATGCATGTGTATATTGAAAGATGGAGCTCACCTGCTAATAGTACTAATCGGGGATGCTTGCACCCACACGTAAAATAATTGCATGTTCAAGTGTTTGAAAAAAGAAATGAAAATAAATGTACCTTAAGTGGTACAAATTAGATGGAGCTAATTTCATGGGTGTATTATCTTAAAATATAAGATATGTTATTATATAATAAACTCCTGTTCAAAACCAAGTCACTAAACGATAAATGTTCTTTTCTATTCTTGTATAGGGTGCAAAACTTCATGTTTAAAGCATTTATCTACCTAAAATGTTAAAACTAATTTGCGATGACCTACATGCATTTTTTTTCGAGAAATTTTTATAACTTTCGAGAAATTATTATAACATCTGATAACAATTAACCAATGATTTGTTGCTTGATTCACCCCATTAGTTAATATTTGTTTTTTTTTAAATGCTCCTCTAAGTTAGAATGTTGAAAGAAGAGAATTTGCATATAGCAAGAAAGAAGTAACCAAGGATAATAAGTATTATAAAAAAAATATCTATTAATTGTAATTTGTCTTAAATGCCTTGTTTGTAAATGTATATAACAAAATTATATATATTATCATTTAGAATGAATAAAGCAATATGGTTTAGTAGCTCTTTCATTTTGAAAGATATTATTCATTTTTTAAAAATTTATAATGTTAATAGAAAGCAATTAGACCATAACCTGACTGATTTTTCCCGCTTTGGTATTCCAAGCTCTCAGGCCAAGTCGTAACACATACAACAAAATAAGTCTCCATACCAAAACAAGTCCAAACACCATAAAGCCAATACTACTACAGAAGAAAATATTGTTGCAAACATAAAAGGACTGAAGAAAAAAAACAGAAATTGCATCTTTTTTATAGCATTTGATAGAAAAAGATGAGTATGTGTTTAATGGAACAATTACGCGAGTATTGTACTTCATACCTCTCATATGCTTATAGACTAATTCAAACGAAGCATAACTAATAGATTCAGTAGTAATAGACCACATGATCAACTCTTCAACTAAATTCTCTTCCTATATACCCTATCTAGGAAACCATAATATTAATAGTAGATGAAAACTAAGTTGTTATTGCAATAAAGGCACCTATAAAACTCACACATTTCCTTTCATTTCTTGATTTTCATCTATTATCCGCATACGGAGTACCTATATTATCATGAACCTATTGTCTATTTAAGAACTAACATCTAACCCAAGGTTTTAAATTACGCAATTAGGTATTGAGGCTTTTTTTGTTCGTGAGACGAGACGTAAGCTTCAAGGCGTTTTGAGACGTAAGCCTCCAAAACAAAAATTTGTGTAAAGTGAAAATAAAAGTCAAAAGTGATTTTTTATATAATACCTAAATAATTTGTTAAATAATGATTAACTTCCTATTGAATTGTGAATTAATAAATTGACATACATGTGAAATAAAAATTGCATAAGAAGTAAAGTGATAGGTGATAAATTACATGAAATAGAATTAAAATCCAAATATTATAAAAACAAAATAATATTAAATATAGAAATTGCATAAAAGTATCATATAACATCAAGTTCAACTCCAAATTTCTTCTTTCTCAATTCTCTACCCATTTACATTTAATTCCTAAAAAAACTGAAATAATTAGCAATAACTCAAAAAATCATATGCACTGTCATCACTAAGGTGGTCTTTATTTGAGCTGTCGCCAACGTTTAAAATTGCGCACCTGTCGCCATAACAAATTAGTCTATCCCTTGCCTCATCTAATGGAGTTGAATGCGTCTCAATCTGCTTCTTCTTAATTTATTTCAACCATGTTCATCTTTTATAAAAAAATTTTATCAACTTAAAGATGAAATTAATACTGCAAAATTTTTAGGGTGGTGGTGTGTGGCTTTCAAGTGATCGCCGGCGATAGCTACGATGATGTTGGATGGAGTGAAGGCTGCGGGCTGGAGGTAGAGGCAGTCAAGATAAAGTTGTTGTGGCTCGAATATACACGAAGACGTGATTTATATTAGTTTTAACAAATATATATATACACACACACACACAAAGGGTGAGTCGGAAGCCTCACACTAGCGAGACGAGGCGGACCTCAACAAAGTTGAGGCGTAAGCCTCATAAAAAAGCTAGAGGCATAAGCCTCGAGGCATTTTTCACTGGAATTACGCTGAGACAAGCCTCATATTGCGGAATTTTAAAAAATGATCTAACCTAAATTGTGTTGCAATATTTTATCCAACTCATTGTCTATTTCGATGTCGACTATCTTAGTATCAAACCATGAGAAAGATGAATGAACATACTAAGAAACAAGATAGCTCCATCTAGACATGAGCAATAATAATCATCAACATCGGTCTCATTTATCTGAATATTTGAACACAATTATGGCACAAATTTAACTCCATCCTATTTAGATGAGTCATCCATCTTTTAATGTACTACAATCCATATTTTTTTATAATTCAATATCATAAAATATAAAGAATTTCATTTTGAGCTGTGCCAAATAGCCAAACACCACAGAGCTCCTTAAATTCCAAGCCACTCAAAAACTTCAATGCTTATTAACCTAATCCAAACTGATGTATGGGGACAATCACATGTCACTAATTTTAATAATAGTTTGCTACTTTCATAAACGATTTTTCTTTTATAGATGATTGCTCAAATACAACGTGACTTTTTCTCATACCAACTAAATCTAATGTGAGTATAATCCTCTCCAAATTCCATGAATTAGAAATTACAAAATTTGGCACTAATATCAAGCATAATAGGTCTGATAATGGGAAGAAATATTTTAATCAAGCTTTATCCTCTTTTCTCCATAAAAATGGATTCATCCATGAATCCTCTTGGATTGAAACCCAGAAGAAAATGGGCCTGCAGGAAAAAAAAAATCATCTCCTTAATCACAAGGGCCCTACTCTTTCAGAGAAATGTCCCAAAATTTTATTCGAGGAGAAGTTATCTTAATTGCCACATTCCTAATAAACAACCTATAGTAACTTCACATTTAAAAGTAAGCAAAAGTAATGTTTATGCCATGTTGGAATCCTTTAAGTAATCCAAACTTTAAGGTGTAACGTAAATAATATCTCCCATTTATCAAAAGATAAACAAGGAAATTCTAGTTTTTCTATGCTAATAAGTAATAACAAACTCAAAAATGGATATATATTTTTTGTGGAAAACTAGGAATTCAAATATGGTATTGAAGATTTCAGAAGTATTAGTAACATGACTTTAAACATATAATATTTTATAAACTACTGCATATACCTGTCCTAATCGTAACCCACAAAGGCAATGGATCAGATTACGAAAACCTCCTCTACAGATATTATTAAGAATTATTGCCGTGAGACATGGCTAATCCTAATAAAATTACTAATTACTAAAGTTTATGATAACATTCAAGTGTCAATCGACTGAGTTGCTAATAAACAATAAAAAAGATTATAATTTAATCCTATGTTTCTATTAACAAAAAAATAATTAAATAAAAATTTTTAAATCTCAATTTTAAAAGAAAAAAATATGGTTAATGTCATTTATTGTAAATACTTATCTGAAATAAGGTTAATAGCCCAACAAGTTTGTTCCATCTCATGGAATCAATACAGTTGTTAAGAGTAAATACTAGAGATTGAAATGTACTACAAATTATTAGAAATATATACCAAATACCAAACAAAATGAATAGAAACACAATCGCAATTTTAAGCAACTTCAACAGTATCAATTTTCAAATTTGAACCAAATACCAGCACAGTTAAAAGGATTTTCAGCGTTTGATATTTCAACAATGAGTGTATCAGCATTTAGTGGAAGCCACCATGCACTTATCAACGAGGAAGAGAGCTAAAACGCCCTCTTTGTCTCAACAAATAAGCCTTCCACAATTCAAGCATTTAAACTATGTTATAAAACATGCATTTACTTGATAATATGCGTAAATGTGAATCAAATGTTATAAGTCAGGGCAATGATGAAAACTGTTAAAACTCATAATCATTGAAGCAAAAGGAAGCAAGAGTAAATTTATTCAATAAAAATTTGCGACGAGCCATACCCAAGCAAGCAACAAGATATCTTCCAAAACAGTACATGGCAAAGGACTCGTAGCTATCACGGATGATCCCACAATCAACACTTAACGATGGGTTCACTAATGAAACATACTGAGACAAAAAAAAAGGATACTGGGCTTAAGCAATTAAAACAATATGTTTATATGATAACAGAAAAGCTAGATGATATCAAAAGAAATGGAAAGTACATAAATTACAGTCAATCAGGCCTCAGTCGAAGAGCATCAGTGGCTCTTTCAAAAGCAGTAAAAATAAGTCAGAGCAGTACATAATTCAACTTGTCTCGCTTAGAATCAATTAGCAAAATACTCCCAAACAGTGGAAGATAATAGCATGACAGATGCTCATAATCTAGTTATCATAATTCATAATGCTTTCCAATTTGTGATTTCATCATCAAAATAAGGCATTAAAAAGAAGATATCAGAAGCAATGGTACGGACATTGAAAGGGATGGCTGCCTAGGAACCCTAATGATGATAATGGTACCAATTTCAACCATACAATCTGAAGAAATATTTTGTTTGAGAAAATTCAAATGGCAATGAATACTAACCATTCCAACCACGTTAGATTAATGTAGTTCAATGACTAATGCATGGTGTTTGCAGAATACATAAACACGCACAAATAGTTTGCTAAAAAAAACAGTGTTGACGTAAGAATCCCGCTTTGTAGACTTAGAATTTCATTCCCCTTAAAGGCATATTGTAATTAAACAGATTTCTCCTAAAGATTGGATGAAGGTTTAGTTAGATATGGGTCCTTACTTCCTATGAGCATAAACCCTCATATTTAATTACCTTTCTTAATACGTAAGATAGAACTTTCAATTAATGATGAATAATTTTAGGTATTTTAGCCTAATTTGTTGGGGGAATGGAAGTAAACCCGATCAAAATCGCATTCCATCGCCCCGGGAATGCCGTAACTTTCAGTCTACCAACACTAGCAATCATTGATTGTAGTGTCCTAAGAATCTGATTAGCAACCATGGGTTATCTCCTCTCATATATCCCTAGTAAACCGAAGTGGTTAGAGTTAGGTTGTGATTTTATTGTGGTTTGGGGTTTACAATTTTACATCTGTTAGAATACCCAGTAATTAATAAAGGTTGGGTCTTCTGGCTTCCATTGAAACTTGCCTATGGATTTATAGGACTTCCTGCTTTCCTTTGAAAGTAGCTTGTAGTTTTGTAGGACTTACTGCTTCCCTTTGAAAACAGCATGTTTGTTGTTTAGGGTAGATTAGACAGCATATGCTTTAGTTTACAGTTCTTTGTTATTGCTGCACCAGTGTTGGTTTCTATTCCTGATTTAGCACTGCTTTTAAATTCAGTTTTTACGGTACTTATTTTCTTTCTTGCACAGCAATTTTGTTTACAGCTCTGGTTCTTTCTCTTGCACTGCATGTTTTTTTCAGTATTTTGCTTTGCTTTTCTTACACTACAATTTAGTTTACAGTATTTTGCTTTTTTTCTCTTACACTGCAACTTGGTTTATAGTACTGCTTTTTTGTTTATTTGTTTGCATGAGCGCATACTGAGAGGAGCTGGTTTGGAGAGCTTTGCAGAACTTTTTTGAGTTTTGGAAAGCTTTCGTTTGAGAGTTTTGGCAAGAGTCTTAGTTTTAGGAGTTTAGGATTTTAGTTGGTGTGAGTTGTATTAGGGTTTTATATAACTTTTTTTTAGTTTTTTTTTGTTTATTCTTTCTAGTTTCATATTTTCAATTAATTAAAAGATATACAATTTTAACCAGAGTGGTTCTCCCCATATTTTTAATTGTGCTCCAATGCAATTTAAATAATTAATTAATCCATTTTAACTAATTGAATTTTAATTGATTGATTGATATCAATCGCTCGATTAATTACATTTTAAATTTATTTTAGAATGGATTAATTAATTATTAAATGAGATTTTAGACATAATTTAAATTAATTGATTAGTTTTTAATTAATTAAAATAAATTTCAATTATATTTTTGAATTAATTGATTTAATTTTAGATTTAATTAACCAATCAATTAAGTTTTATTTTATATTTGAAATTACAATTAATCAATTAATTAGATTAACCAATTAATTAATATTTAATTTCAACTCATTTAATTAACCAATTTTTATTAATTAATTGATTAATCATCTCTCTAATTTTTAAATAAAAATTCCTCTTTTTTAGCAAATTTGGTAACCTCTTGAAATGATTTTAACAACCTCTCGTCGTTCCTCCCAGCGAGGGGAGGTCGGGACGGCATTTGTCATTGATTTATTACCGGTCAAATCTAAGATCAAAGCAGTGAGATCTTCGATTTGAAATCTTATCGGCCGGATCTAAGATGGACGACGCAAAATATTTAATTTGAAATTATCATGGTCGGATCTAAGATCGGCGGCGCACGTCTTTGATTTGAAATCGTGAAACTTGTTTACCCTTTTTACCTTCTCTTTTTTTTTATATACATATGTATCTTTAGCACCACTCTATTACATTCATATACTCAAGCATTTGATGTCGAAAGTAGAACTTGAGCGAGATAAATTAAGATTCTAAATTTGTATTCAGATATGGGGTGAATAAGAAAACTCTTTCAACATTTGAATAAATCAGAGCCATTATAGGCAATTAAAGCACAGTCTTCAATTGCAGACAGTCAGTCGAATAGGGATAGGCGTGCATGGGACAGGCGATTGAATGCCCATGAGAAATGCACACAGGCAGGATTGTCGGATTGCAACTCTGATCGCAAGAGTAGGAGGCGACGGGTTAAGCAGCAATCGGGTCGTATAACAGCACAAGGGAGTGGTCGAAGGTTGGTCGCATGGGTGTGAGGGTTGGAGGTGGGAGTTACTCATGGACAGTAGAGGCGCAAACTGGAGGCAGGCACGAGGACGGGATGCGGGCTCACATACAGGTCACAAGCAGAGTCGGGTGTGTGGGTTGATCATGAACGGGCGTGGGCATTCGCAAATAGAGAAGGGATCTGCCATGTGTGGGTTGGAGCAGAGGTGTTCGCACATAAGGCATTTGCCTTTGATCAGGTTTGGTTGTTGGGTATTAAGACAGTCGCAGTGGAAGAGGGAGATACAGGGTTAAAGGCAAAGAGCAGAAGTTCAGAGAAATTGAGAGAGTGAGTCCGTTTCTCCTTTTTTCATTCTGCTTCACTGTGTATTTATCGATCGCATAAACAAAGGGATGCATTGTTTCATGAAATATTACATTGTTCGATCAATTTTCCACTTTCTGAAGCAATCCAGTTGTCTTATTTTATTTTATTTCTCCTTTTTTTTAATGGCCATTACAATTATATATTTATATATATATATATATATATATATATATGAAAGTGTCGAGGAGATTACTTAACTCCAATCACGCAAAAATGCACACAATAAGGGCTCACGCGTTACTAGAAAAATTTAGCACATGCTTTATGAATGTTAATTGTATTTTGACTTTGAGCCACAAATAAAGTAATAAACTATTGAAAATTCAGGATTGATGCTTACAGCTTATGATATTTCCAAAATGCCGAGCAAAAACTCATGAAAAATAAAAGATCGTATAGGATAGACATTTTGTATAGACTAATGATATTTCAAATACACAACTAAAATAAAGGCAAATAATCCACAAGTTATCCAACAGTGGATATGGTGAGTCACTAACCCATGAATCACAATAAGACAAGTCCCTCGGAATATTTATAGAAATATTCCAGCCAATGGATTTTCAGTTATGCACCAAGTAGTTCTTGATTTTTCAAGAAGGATGTGGTTTTTTTTCCTTTCGTTAGGGCGGTCTTCCGATGACCCGGTTAGGAAAGTCAATGCATTAGACTTGACTTATGTTAAAAATGATAGAGGTAGACCTAAAAAGACTTCGTTAGAAAATATTAGAAATAACCTTTCTTTACTAAATTTAAATGAGAATTTAACTTTTAACAGTGCAAAAAAGGATTCATGTACCCGACCCCGCATAGTGGAATAAAGGCATGATGATGCTGTTGTTGTTGTTTGCTAAGTACTTAATGATATAGTGCTATTAATTCCCTCAAAATATATTTTTTCTTGTGCATAAAGAAAAAATTTTAGTCTAAATGAGATATTTATTGGAATTTGGAGACTTATGAGAGATATTGTTGTATTGTAAACAACTCTTTTTAGTGGAATTATTTATAATGAGGCCAAAGGATGACAATAGAAATATTTTGATACCAATATTCAAGAAAAAAATGCTTATAGTGTAGCACTCAAATGAAATTGAACTAACACAAAAAAGTAATATGAGTAACAACAGTACAAGGTTGAAAAATCTTACATTGATATGAAGATTTAATTTTATTTTATGTCAGAAACATATATACCATCAAATGTAACAACTGTATTAGTTGAAAAGTGAGTTCACATGTACAATATGTCAAGGTTGCAAAAATTGGCCTAGAGATAGAACTGGAAGAAAGAGATTCAAGGTTCAATGGATCGACCGTGATTGAATTAAGGTCAACCCAATTGACGTAATAAATATTAAATTATTTAAATGATATCTAAATGATAAGATAACAATGTAATAATTATGAAAATATATGATTTTATGATTCAAAAATAAATAAAATTCATAGAAAAATAACATGTTCTATAATTTTAAATTTAATTATCCTCAATCATTATTTTTAATTCACATTTAATGCAAATTTAATTTATACATAATTTTATAACTTTATATAAATAATTATTAATTTATGTTATATATTTACATAACCTATATATTATATACAAAATTCACATTATAAAATTAAATATATATAAATTCATACTACATTATTTATAACTAAAAAGTGGATAAAAATAGTTTTTATATTGAATAAATAAATAACTAAATAGATAAAATTTAATTATTATTAATTAAAAAATAAATATCATTTACATTATAAAAATTACTTAAATTTTATGTGTAAGAATATGTAGTTTATGTGTTATAAATTTGAGAATTTTACTTTATCTATTTAGTCCCACATCACTTAGGAAATAGGAACTTTTATTTAGTATTCTTTATATAGTTTTTTTGGTCATTATAAAAATAAATTAAAATTATGTGTAAGAATATGTAGTTTATGTGTTGTGAACTTGAGATTTCACTTTAGCTATATAGTCTCACATCACTTGAGAACTTTTACTAAGTATTTTTTATACAACTTTTTTGGTTTGAAAGAATAAAAAAGTCACATAGATTATGGAACCGACAAAATATGTTTGGTTGTAGCTTATTTGATGATAATTAATATAAAAATTTATAAGGTAATTTAAAATTAAAATATATTAAATTTATTAAACTTATTTCTTTAATTATATAAACGAGATAATAATTGAACAGGTCTATACACCCATGACTGCTCGTGCAGGTACTCACTCGCAAGCATCTTACAGGTTACACTCAGGTCAAGCGGAAGGAGAATTCTCTCTTCTTTTAGGTCACTCCATTCGAGCGACTAGCTCAAGAGTTGAGAAGGAGCTTATCACTGGAGCACGGCGGATCACCTTCGACCACATCCTCCAAGCAGTCGCCCTCCCCAGTAGAAGCGACCCCAAAAGCTCCTCTATCAGCCGGACAAGCCTTAGTTCATCTCAGCCAAAGTCAAGTCTTTTATGCAAGATCATTCAAAAGTCGAGCTAAAGGCATACAACTCGTCCACAAGAGATCCTTTATAATCGGACAATCGCGAGCTCACAGACCGGCTTCCTACCCAACATCGACTCAATCTCCAAATGTCCATGGGTTCGCCCTACCCGCATCATCTCTCACAATATCGCCACACCACTCGGCACAGCTAGCAAAGATATATCAAAGACTGATAGTATAACTCATGTACTTCGTACATATTCTACTGTAACTCTTCAAACCCAATAAATAGGGGGAGGGGGATAGACAAGACACACTAGAAAAGAGAGGAGAAAACACACCATAATACAAAGAGATATATAGAGAGACAATGTGTCAATTTTTCCTTTTCTAGCTTAAGCTATGTAGAATAGAGCCCTCGCTCTTTTTATTCTTGTATTTCTGGCTAAGATAATAAAGATTTTATTCAAATTCATCTTCCACTCTCTCTTATAAACTCTCTCCCTCTTTCTCTACCATCATTATCCTCACTTACATTCTCTCAGCACACGGGTAGACCCATAAAGTACGGTCGGGCATCATCCACTGAATAAGTCTAAATTCAAACCAGAACTAGTTTCAAAGATTTGATGGTTGAACCGCCGGTTTGAGATAATTTTTTCCGTTTCAATGCAAAACTGATTTTAGAAATAAACCAAACATAGAAAAGGAAAGCTTGGAGCATGGTTAGATTGGAAGCCGGCAAAAGTCAAAAAAATTAAACTGCAAATGGCCCGTATTTCAACCAATTTTTTGATGCCGCCAATGATATATTATGAAGAAACTTCCTAAATTTGTTTTTCTTTCTCTATGTGCCATTCATCCCCATAATTAGCTTAATCATCACTTTCCAAAATTCTATAAAAGGAGATTATCAAACTCCTTCTAGGCCATCATCATAAAAGGCTAATGTACTAGAGTGACAGTTTTACTAAGTTATCAAATGATAACACACAAAAAAGACAATAAGCTGCTGACTCTATAAAGAGAAGAAGAATAATTTCTCCAAGAAGTTTTAAAACTTCTTAAGAAGAATCTAGAATTATTCTACATGTAAAACTCAAGATAACGGAAAACAATATATCTTATTACATTTATTCCTAAGTGAAGACAATTAATGATATTTAAAGTACAAAGGAAGTTATCCATGCAAAAAAGATAAACCAGGTTTGAACATATGACCAAGGGACAAACCATGTAGAAGTTAGGGGGGCAGGCAATTACCCCCACCCCCCCCCCCCCCCTTTAAAAAAAAAAATAATTATAAGAGAGGAGCATTTAAATAATCCCCCCCCAAAAGCCTCTTACTTTGCCCCCCTTTTTCCCTAACCACCCGTAATCACCCTTACACAGCCGCAAAAATTGCAAAAATATCCTTACAACAAAATCTTGTAAGGCAAGCTGCCCCTTGGACGCCTGACATATCTATGAACTGTATAACGATCAAGGATATTAACAAATAGGGGTCGAACCAATTTGAAGGCAACTCTAACATATATTTTGCAGAAATTGAATGACTAATCAATTACGTCATTTTAATTTTTTTTGCAAATGAATCATCAATATTTCAACCTAAAGTTTGTTTAAGAATAAACAAATCATCCTTAATTTTCTTTCAAGTAACAAATATCAAGCTTCTTTTTTGGTGACCCATTTTCTTATAGTGAAGGGTCGAGCCAAATTCGAGACAACACCAATAGTTGCTGATAAGTTTGCCCCCTCCCCCCCTCTGGTTCCGCCCCTACATATGACAATTATCATACTTAATTGAAAATAAAACAACCAGTAAGTGTTGACATCTAAAGAAAGTGCTCAACCTTCTCCAAAGTATTCACGCGGTATTAAATTTAATCAGAAATTCTTTTGAGGGGAGTTCATACCGACTCAACAGCGTAGCAAGGGACCATTAAGATAACACCAATTAAAAACTTTTGCTCCTACAAAAGTACACAAAACACCAATAACCAAAAATCAAAAACCGCCTTCATTGAACAATAGCTCAACATAACAAGCATTAGTAAAATATAAGCAGAAAAGAACCTCGGGATTCTTGTAGGCCGAAAGGTGGTGGAACAAAAGAAACATGGATACTGATACTGAAATAGCTACAAAAACACCAGCAATCGTTGTTGCCCATGCTAGCGTTGAGTAACCTGAGAGACTTGCGTAGATAAACCCAAATAGCTTCATTATTTGGGAAGCCACCATGTCCAGCTCAAATTTTAATGGCAGCCCAACATAATTCAAACGCACAGTGCTTAAAGCGTAGCATAGCCAACCTCAAATCTACTTCCAGCAGCTATTAAAAACATCTGCCTCCACAAATAAATATCAAACTTTTCGGCTTGCCAGAGAAGAATCAAGACCTGCAAGTCATTTGAAAGAAAAATAAAATTAGGGAGATTTTTGGTGGACCTCTCATAGCACGCACAGGAGTAGAATTCTCATTTCAAGTAGCCATTTGTACCACTAAAGCTAGAAATCAGAAAAGGATGTTGTCGATATTCTGCGATAAGAAAAAGCCACCAACTTGTTGATTCCCTTGAAGGGAGAGGCAGAAACTTTCATGCGAATCAGCTCGAGAAAAAGAAAAAATACTGAATTTCTGGAAGACGCAAAACCCTAGAAGAATAAGGAAATTGGTCGCCCAAGCTATCTGCATCAATCGATCAGAAATCCTATCGGATCGGAATGAGATCGGCGATTGGCGGAATCACACAGGATCTAGAAGAGCATAGATGGGGAAAAACGAAGCCCGGAGAGACCAAGAAGAGACTCAAGCGAAACCACAGAAAACTCTCAGGGGCTGTTTGGTATCGGATTACAGCGGGATTTAAATCGGATTTACGCTAAATCCAGCCAATCGGTTTTTGTGGGCGCGTTAAATCCCGGCGATGGGTAAATCCTGGATTTATGGCTTAAATCCCGGATTTACTAAATCCCTCGGTTCGGCGGTTTTATGGGATTTGGCCGAAGAAGCACGCGAAAGGCAGCCAGCGAGCTCCCGTTGTTGCTTCCGATCAGAATGTCGTGACTTCCGATCCGACAGGAAGGGAAAGTCGTCGAAGGAGCGAAGTCGAACAGCCAGGGAGGAGCCGATGAAGCGACGCGTGCAATCTCTGCACCTCCTGCGAAGCAACGAAGCCGAAAAGCAACGACGAGAAGAGAAGATCAAAGGCAAAACCCTATACGCGCTAAGTTGTTATTGATTATTTTTTTTTTTTTTTTTTTTTTTTTTTTTTTTTGGACATTTAGGGCATTTAAGGCAAACTCATACACATAATACATGCACATGTACTCGAATCTTGGACCTGTTAGTTGGAAGCCTAAGCTCTCAACTAATAGGCCAAGGGGAGTTGTGTTTTATTGATTAACTTAATTAATATAATTTCAAATATTAATAATTAAGTAAAAATAAATAATTAACAATATAATTAGTTCATAAATTAATTATGTAATTTAACTTAATTGAATAATTAATAATTAAATATTAATATAATTAACTTTGATACGACATAGTAAAATCATTTTGATCGGGCACGAATCTCGAGACAAAAAACTAGTTGGAAACTTCAAAAATTAATTTTGGGAGCAAATGAACTCTGATTTCAGCGAGCTTACAGTCAAACTGAGCGTCTCGGAAATACGAACCCAACGACACCAAGATCAACCTAATCCGAGCCCAAATGAGTCTGAATCAAGGGCTCAAAGCGCTGTTGGAAGGTTCAAACCGCAAACTGAGTTACCAAACGGTCTCCGATTTTGACGAGCTTATACTCGAATCGAACAGATCGACGAGACGAATCCAACGAACCTAAGATCGCCGAATTCCGACATGATTAAGGCCTTCAAATGCCCAACGAATGGTGCATGATCAAATGATTCAATATCGGCCGTCCATTCAAAACACTCCCAATTCGCCCTTAATCTCACGTCTATTTACGGGCTATGCCACTCCAGAAAAACTATAAATAGAGCCCTCATTCTACACCAAGAGTACTCAAGTGAAGAGTGAGAAGAAGAAGAGGAGAAAGGGGAAAAGGAGATTCCTCACCTCCTCGACCATTGCCGGAGCTTTTCCTGCCGCCTGAAGACGCCGAAACTCTGCTGGATTTTCGGGAGAACGCCAGAATTCTGCCTAACTTCCATGGGATGCTGAAATTCTTCCCAATTTACAAGAGAGTTCCCTCCTGATGGCGAAACTCCGCCCAAGTGAAACCGGAGTTCTCCTCTGCCACCAAAGATGTTGGACTTCTACCCGACGTCCGACCTTCACTCTTCGCCAAGTTTCTACCCGACGCCAGACTTCTACCGGTTATCGAACTTCGCTGGACGTCTAAGCGAAGATGCATTTCTTTCCATTATTGGACTTCTACCTGATGCTGTCCTACTGATCTTCGTCGTCAGACTACAGTCCTTCCGACCTCCGTCGCCGGCCGACTACAGTCCTCCTAACTTACGTCGCCCGCCGACTACAGTCTTTTCGACATGCGTCGCCCGTTGAATACGGTCCTCCTGACTTACGTCGCCCGCCGACTACAGTCTTTCCGACATCCGTCGCCCGTTGAATACGGTCCTCCTGACTTATGTCGCTCACCGAATACATCCTTTCCGACCTCCGTCGCCCGCCGACTACAGTCCTCCGTCGCCAGTTGACTACAGTCCTCCTGACCTACTTTTTTTTTTTTTTTTTTTTTTTTTTTTAAAGCGA